ACATTACACGATTATTGAGTTCATCTAGTTTCACCGTGTGGATAATACGGAAACCAAATTCCGATTTAAAGGAAAACAAATTCGATGCAAAATATAATGGATTTTTGTTCTTAATATCATTCCTTCAAAAAGATACCAAACATGTGACTGATAGAATTACAATTTTTATCTTGAATACAATTGAGAGTGTAGGGAATTTACACAGTTAACAAATACAAAACTGTAAATCACTAATATCGATATCAATATCTTTAAAAAAAAACATTAACGGGGGGGGGGGCTTCAAAATTAATCACCACGGAATTGAATCACGCTCTTTAATTTGAATTATAGCATACTGAATTGAAATAAACACGTTATAAAATTTCGTGCGTCCGACATATTTCCCAGAGTTGCAAAAGTTCCAAGGGAATCAATAAACAATGCACGACATCGTAATGAAATACCAGCATTTCGTGTTTATTTAAGGACTATCTAATTAATCATCAAGAAAAACCTCAAAAGTCTGCCGATGTAAATATAACTAGAAATAGAAATAGGCAGACAAGCATGTGCATTATTATAATGACGATTTTTCTGTGTCTATTTGCTTGCATGTATAGAAGTATGTTTTATCTGTAAAAATGATTTTGCTGTTGGCTTTAATAACAGAAAAATGCAGAGCATATTCACAATCCACATCCAATAAGGGTCAACTTAAAGGTTGCATGCATACGGACAATATAAAAATAAGGAGATGCGGTATGATTGTGGTTGCTAATGAGACAACTATCCACCGAAAAGTTCAAATGACGTAGATATAAGCAACTAAAGGTCGCCGTACCGCCTTCAACAATGAGTAAAAACCCATACCGTATAGTCAGTTATAAAAGACCCCAACATTAAAAATGTGAAACAATTAATGCATGTTCAATATTATAATGACGATTTTTCTGGGTATGTTTGATTTCATGTAATAGATTAAAAATATATGCAAAGTTTACCTGAAAACATGTTTTTGTGGGTTTTAATAACTGAGCATGAATAGCACATGCACAACCGATCTCCAACTAAGGGTCTTATTTAAGGTTGCATAGATACGGACTCAAATAAGGTCAAATTATTGTCTTTCAAGACAACGATATATCAGTGATGTTTTTGAGCTTATTTTTTACAAAATTTATCAAAACTGGTTTCTAAAAGCAAATCATTAATTCAATATTACGCCTTTATCAATGTGTGAAACAGAAACCTCGTTCTTTAATATCTTGTCTAAATCGTAGCTAATGTCCCTTTGACAATCATCTTATGTATTAAGTTCACATGAGCTAACAAAAATAATACGGAAGACTGTTTACTTACATTTCCACATTAAAAAGCATGTTGGTAATGGGATATACTTCAGAGATGAATCTGTTCTAATCCGTGAAGTAAGAAAACAAATGTTACCAAAAGTGTTAAAACAAGCACCTTTACAACTGGAATCTTGTAAACAGTAAAAAGCACAACGAGGTAGTGAATGATACGGTAGCTGTATCATCTTATCGTGTCCTATAAAACATCGCTTGGAAATAATCTGAAAAACATCGGAAGTGACATCCTCAGCACCATAAACTAGATACAAACATAAAGCCGTTAAAAGGAACAAAGACTTGCATCCAATTATTTTACCATTTCGCATTGTTGCAACTTTGAACATTAACCAGTACCTGTTTGTCAAATAACTATTCTTTCTTTTTTGGTCAAAAACTATTTTTACCCTAAATATCTTTTGCGAACAATCTTTTAAAAAATGTAATCATTGGGAAAACTAGTCAACGATACCAAACTTATAATTTCAAAAGGGATTATAAGATTTTATATGCCATTGATATAAGTCTTATTTCCTGTAATTGTTGATTTGTACCTTGCAATGGTAAAACCAATATTTGATAACATATGGCATTATTTTACGTACCGGAATTAAAAATTAAAGTTTTGTTTATCTAATGCTCAAGAACGTTTAATACTAAAACTTAATTTGGCTAGAAGAAAAAAAAATGTACAAAGATTCTTGTGAAATAATTTTGAATCTCAGTGGTAAGGCTTATTTCACTGTGTTTATTTCATATCAGAGCCATTTTCAAAATGAAATTCATTTCAATCATTAGTAAACTCCATAGCATCAAATCTTCACAGTTCAGTTTAATAAAATTGAGAATGGATACGGGGAATGCGTCAAAGAGACAACAACCCGAACAAAGAGCAGAAAACAGCTCAAGGCCACCAATGGGTCTTCAACACAGCGGGAAAATCTCGCACCCGTAGGCGGGCTTCGGCTAGCCCCTAAACAAAATTGTGTACTAGTTCAGCGAAAATGGACGTCACACTAAACTCCGAAACATATAGATGAACCAAATTTTTGAAAAAACATAGAAGACTAACAAATGCCAGAGGCTCCTGACTTGGGACAGGCGCAAAAATGCGGCGGGGTTAAACATGATTTGTGAGATCTCAACCCTCTCCCTATACCTCTAGTTAATGTAGAATAAACAAACACACAGCAATACGCACAGTAAAACTCAGTTTAAAAGAAGTCCGAGTCTGATGTCAGAATAGGTAACAAAAGAAATTAAGCAAAATGACAATGAAACATAAATTAACAAAGAACTACTAGCAGTTACTGACATGCCATCTCCAGACCTCAATTAAACGGATTGAAAGATTATGTCTTCATGATATGAAAATCAAGCACAATCCCTCCCGTTAGGGGTTTAGTATCATACCATCATAAAATATATGAGAAGAACATAACCCGTATCATGCCAACAACTGGTTTTAGAATAAATGTGTTTATTTCCGATGCAAAGAATTTATCAAAAATTCCTGTGAGAAAGGAAAAATCAATAATTGCCCTTTTATATACAAATCGATTCATTGTGATTATAAATGTCATTTGATGATTAATTTAAAAAAAAAAAACAAGTAATTTTCAATATTGTGTTCAGTAGGAGGCAACAGCAGTCTACAACATCTAAATATTGTAAATCTGTTTTAAATATAAAACAAAATAAGGAAATCGTATGAACTCCAATCAGAACGAAACTGGCTCCGTTGACATGGTAAACGTCCAATTCTTTCCTGAACTGTCACCATCGCCAACGTTGATGCGCTGATTAATATTATGATTTTATTGATTCATAAACAATTGTTGAAATTTGAATACAATTATTTCATTTAAACTCTGATATTCAAATTCCAGTGTAAAAAATAAAATTCCAATAATATCTTTATCATAATTATTTTTCTCAATGTCTTTTTTTTTTTCATTCCCTCGGGCTATCTACCAAATCTAAAATTGATACAATTTTTTTTAATATAAAATGAAAAAAAAAAAATCGAGAATTAAAAGGCTTTCTATGTGGCGGCTTTGCAATTAAATGTCAAACAAAACTAACAAATTGATAACGTGATGTTATTATAGCTCAAAACTAATTTTAAATCTGACAAAAAGCATCCCAACATGCATAAAACGTGTACTCAGGTGGAATATACACAATTCCAAACACTGCATCTAGGTCAGTGTCCAGCAATTGAGTGCTTATCTTGAACCGGAACACCTCTACCAATACGATTGTCAATTTTTTGTTAATAACACGGTAAAAAACTACCAAATTTCACTTTAGAAGTTTGTTTTCTAATTAAAATTTGAATATATAAAATGGTAATTTTATTTCATCTCTATCGTCAAGTTTTTTTATCAACAAAACATATGATATTTTGATTTCTTACCAAAGTTTAGAAACCTTTTCTTTGATTTTCCTAATTGGCTTTAATCTACATTCAAGATGTCATCAGTTTGCAAGAGCTACATTATGTTATTAGAATTGTTTGCAAAATTGTAAATCTGGTGTTAATTTCTTGCTGTTTTGTTTTGTTTTTTAGAGAATGTTCATTAAACTTTTCAATTACTCGAGTTATTACGGTTTTTTCTACCCCAGGGTATCCACGGAGATAGCCTTAACCAGATTTAGCACACTTTGTAGAATTTAATGCTTTCAATGCTCTTTAACTTTGTTGTCGAATTATCCTTTAAACTTTCGATTCGAGCGCCACTGGTGAGTCTTATGTAGACGAAATGCGTAACGCACTCAATAATAAGCCTGTTATATTTGATGATCTGTCTATGCAATAATATATATTTGTCTTCCATCGTAGACGGCGGACATGATAATAGGGGTAAATTCAGTAAAAAATCTCCCATTGACTGTAATGCTAATCTATGTCTTGAATTAAATTTATACCTGATTTACCTTTAGAAATTAGAAAAATTCATATATCATTCATGAAAGTACAAATGTAGCCCTATCATTTGCAACAATAAAAACATAGGGTCATGCGGCATTTTTGGGCATTCACATGGCCTTGTTTACAAACACTGTAGATTCGCACTTAATTCCTTCACTGACCCCCATTACTTTTCAACCCTGTAGTAAAAAAATTTAGTACATTCAGCATTTATTTTTTTTTTTTTTCAACTCTAGTTTTTATCCATCTATCAAAAAATATTTATTACAAACATTATCTACCAATCAGAAGAGCACATGACTTCAGTTTTATACAGAAAGCTCTCCCCCAAATGGGCGGTCCCTGATGACGTATATTTATTTACTGAATTTACCCCTATAAGGGACTTTTTAGTAGCTTTTCCCTCTTTTTTTGTAATAATCATGTAATGTATCCAATTTTAAAGTTCCAGTTTCAATACAACATTCATAAATGCTGAACTTGTAAAGATAGAGGAAAATTTATACTACAGCCCATACTGCGGCCAATGTATATTTGGTATATAAAGTTGCATATTGACTGTTTGTAAAAGAATGGTGTAAAATACTATGCTTAATAAATATGAATTGTTTTCTGTGTTTGCTTTGACCAGTATTGCAAGTACATCTAGAAACTAAAGTCTTGATGTACTCTTAGTTAAATTTTGCCTTATATGGAAGTTTTTGATTAAATACCCTGAAAAGACCACAAAAACACTTTTCAAAGGCTTTTTTAAGCAGTTTCATACAAAAAAAACCAACAATTATGTTTCATTTTACTAAATTTGTGTTTTAATTACTTGTAAAGTTCACAAAATGTCATTGACAATCACTCTGCAGAAATTCCTGTTACCCCAACATCAGGATGGTTTCTTCGCCAAAACTAGACAGACAAAACTGAAGTAGAAAAAAGTGCCAAATATGAAAAAATAAGACTGGGTATGACCAAACTTTGCATTTGGAAGATTAAAGTAACAATTTAGAATATTTAAAAGCAGTTATTTAACATAGTAATCCAATTACAAACATTTCAACACTAGTTTCATAGATGATGGCCATGTAATCATAAAAGTTATCTACAATTTTTTTTAAATAAAGAAACGCAATGCGTTATGTAAAAATAAATGAATATCTTCATGCGGTCAGATTATTCAAGTGTTAAAATACTTGAAAAGTGCTTATTTACAACTTGTTCTACAACTTAACATGGTGAAACACAGCTAAAAAAAATACACTGTCAAAGGGAGGTAATTCTGATTTTCCATATGATTTTACACATAATGAGGAGAAATATGTGCAAAATGTGTTGTAAAATGTGGGGAATATTTATGCCTTTCATTGATATCATAACTCTCAAGTGTAATTTCTATTGTTTCTTTCAATCTGGACACAAAAACTGATTTTTACCATATACCCCATGCTTCCTCTCACAGTACACTCAGTGCATCTTGGATAGCCGAGTTAAACATAGAAATTTGTGTAAAAAACAACTTCAAATGGTTCCAAAATGCTTCCATTACATTAATATACACAGGAAATAAGTTTTGTGATTATTGTGTGGCCTTGGACAAGTACAGTGACAGAATGCATATTTTCCTATAGGGGTAAATTCAGTAAAAAATCTCCCATTGACTGTAATGCTAATCTATGTCTTGAATTAAATTTATACCTGATTTACCTTTAGAAATTAGAAAAATTCATATATCATTCATGAAAGTACAAATGTAGCCCTATCATTTGCAACAATAAAAACATAGGGTCATGCGGCATTTTTGGGCATTCACATGGCCTTGTTTACAAACACTGTAGATTCGCACTTAATTCCTTCACTGACCCCATTACTTTTCAACCCTGTAGTAAAAAAATTTAGTACATTCAGCATTTATTTTTTTTTTTTTTTCAACTCTAGTTTTTATCCATCTATCAAAAAATATTTATTACAAACATTATCTACCAATCAGAAGAGCACATGACTTCAGTTTTATACAGAAAGCTCTCCCCCAAATGGGCGGTCCCTGATGACGTATATTTATTTACTGAATTTACCCCTATAAGGGACTTTTTAGTAGCTTTTCCCTCTTTTTTTGTAATAATCATGTAATGTATCCAATTTTAAAGTTCCAGTTTCAATACAACATTCATAAATGCTGAACTTGTAAAGATAGAGGAAAATTTATACTACAGCCCATACTGCGGCCAATGTATATTTGGTATATAAAGTTGCATATTGACTGTTTGTAAAAGAATGGTGTAAAATACTATGCTTAATAAATATGAATTGTTTTCTGTGTTTGCTTTGACCAGTATTGCAAGTACATCTAGAAACTAAAGTCTTGATGTACTCTTAGTTAAATTTTGCCTTATATGGAAGTTTTTGATTAAATACCCTGAAAAGACCACAAAAACACTTTTCAAAGGCTTTTTTAAGCAGTTTCATACAAAAAAAACCAACAATTATGTTTCATTTTACTAAATTTGTGTTTTAATTACTTGTAAAGTTCACAAAATGTCATTGACAATCACTCTGCAGAAATTCCTGTTACCCCAACATCAGGATGGTTTCTTCGCCAAAACTAGACAGACAAAACTGAAGTAGAAAAAAGTGCCAAATATGAAAAAATAAGACTGGGTATGACCAAACTTTGCATTTGGAAGATTAAAGTAACAATTTAGAATATTTAAAAGCAGTTATTTAACATAGTAATCCAATTACAAACATTTCAACACTAGTTTCATAGATGATGGCCATGTAATCATAAAAGTTATCTACAATTTTTTTTAAATAAAGAAACGCAATGCGTTATGTAAAAATAAATGAATATCTTCATGCGGTCAGATTATTCAAGTGTTAAAATACTTGAAAAGTGCTTATTTACAACTTGTTCTACAACTTAACATGGTGAAACACAGCTAAAAAAAATACACTGTCAAAGGGAGGTAATTCTGATTTTCCATATGATTTTACACATAATGAGGAGAAATATGTGCAAAATGTGTTGTAAAATGTGGGGAATATTTATGCCTTTCATTGATATCATAACTCTCAAGTGTAATTTCTATTGTTTCTTTCAATCTGGACACAAAAACTGATTTTTACCATATACCCCATGCTTCCTCTCACAGTACACTCAGTGCATCTTGGATAGCCGAGTTAAACATAGAAATTTGTGTAAAAAACAACTTCAAATGGTTCCAAAATGCTTCCATTACATTAATATACACAGGAAATAAGTTTTGTGATTATTGTGTGGCCTTGGACAAGTACAGTGACAGAATGCATATTTTCCTATAGGGGTAAATTCAGTAAAAAATCTCCCATTGACTGTAATGCTAATCTATGTCTTGAATTAAATTTATACCTGATTTACCTTTAGAAATTAGAAAAATTCATATATCATTCATGAAAGTACAAATGTAGCCCTATCATTTGCAACAATAAAAACATAGGGTCATGCGGCATTTTTGGGCATTCACATGGCCTTGTTTACAAACACTGTAGATTCGCACTTAATTCCTTCACTGACCCCATTACTTTTCAACCCTGTAGTAAAAAAATTTAGTACATTCAGCATTTATTTTTTTTTTTTTTTCAACTCTAGTTTTTATCCATCTATCAAAAAATATTTATTACAAACATTATCTACCAATCAGAAGAGCACATGACTTCAGTTTTATACAGAAAGCTCTCCCCCAAATGGGCGGTCCCTGATGACGTATATTTATTTACTGAATTTACCCCAATAGTCTTCGTCTGATCGTCTGTCCCCTGAGATCGTTTCCGGATAGCTTTCATACTTGATTCTTTATCATTATTTGTATTTGACCATATTATACTACCATCGTATATTATTTAGATTAGATATACCTTGTCTAACTCAGTCGAGTGTTGTACAGATCACATTCAGTTAGTACAACCTCTTGTATCTATTATGTCGTAGCACACCTGTACCATTTGCGTCCCAATCATGAAATGCTCCAAAAAGGTTTTCAATGTCCAAGGTTCCTATACTCCTTGCATCGTATGCTCTATTTATGAAGTTGCATTCGTCGGTGAATATCTATCAAGAGTCCATCGTATAGTACGATTGGAATGTCTAAATCATATCTTCCAGGTGGAGGGAAAATGTCAAATTTACATCTTCTAATAACCATTGTTTGAGATTTAGTTCGTACAAATTTCTCTAATTACATAACAAGCCAGGTTCATCTTGAGCTTTGTACCAATTTCTAATTAATCTACAGAATTTGGCTATGGTACCCAGCGTTCTTCATAGCAATTTCAACTTCTTCAGTAAATATTTTATTGCGAATGCTACATTCTGCTTATCGAGAAGATGTTCTACAACTGCAAGACTAAAATAAGACCAATTGTTTGTTCTATATTTTGCCACTTGCATCCGTGCTTCTGTTTTAATTCTAGCTTTATTTATTCCAGTCGTACAAACCTTGGTTCTTATGTTTGTCAGTAAATGTTCAGGATCTATAAAATTTAATAGATAACGTGAATCAGAATTAATTGTTTAAACTTTGGTTTGGCATACCAATATTGTGGAAGTCGTGTACCTTCAAGTTAACATTACCGATCTCTGATAATCAGTAGGATCATGGAAGTATTATATTGATAATATAATACTTTCATGGTAGGATAAAGAAAAGTAGCCTAGACAGCATTGAGGAATTGTTTTTGAAAGCTAACTTTGAATATATGATTTACAAATGACTGTGAGTGTTTTTGCTCATAAGACATGTTTATTTTAACCTGATTTAAAGAGTTTTTTAAGCATTATGAAATGATATAATGTAAACATGGCACATATGACATTATTACAAGATTTGTCGAACGCACAATACTAAGAAGGTGTTTTTCTTTGGTTGCAGAAAAAATAAGATTATGTTCTAAAATGTAAAAATTATTGATACTTGGTCAATTATATGGATGTCTTTAATACAGAATCCAATCAATCTCTGGGGTTTTTTAAGTTCGAATTTACGAAACGACTTAAAATATACAATAAAACTAAGTGTTCCTTCGCATATGTTGTAACAATAACTAGGCTAGGATAGAATATCTATAACTATTTTGTAAAAGAGAGGAGAAGAATACCAACGGGACATTCAAACTCTTAAGTCGAAAATAAACTGACCACGCTATAGCTAAAAAAGAAAAAGACAAACAAACAAAACACTTTATGTATCTTTTTCACACGTAAAATCGGATTGAAATTACATAATTTAAAAAAGGGTATGTCGGCCTTGTCAGTGGATCTCATTGGGATCTAAGCATGACGAGTACCGTTTTGTTTTGTAAGCTTGACACGTGACCTCAATTAACGTCATTAGTATTGCAATGTTTATCAAATAAGTTAAGCTTATCAGTTCTTTCAATTAAAATTTTGACATCGATAATCCATGTCTACTTTGAATTCAGATGATAAATTAATTGTTGTGTTCCTGATTAAATAACAATGGCAATGCCTTCATGCATATTAAAGACAACAACAAGTGATCAATTCATTCATTGCGTAGGTTCTTGGAAGTGGTTTTACTGGAATGAAGTGCCAGAAATTTGAAATACTTCTGAAAACTAAGCGGATTGAACACGATTTCAAATGAAGTTTTACGCTATGATAGTATTTAAAATTGAGAAGATAAAGAAATAAGGACATCTGTACATTATTTGAAACTCCTTCTGTCTTATCTAATCTATTTTTATGCTGAAATGTCGTTCCTTAGAACATGTATTTTATTAATTTTGAATATTACAGGACTCATTCGATGTTTACAAAGGGTCGACGCATCACAGGAATACAACTTAAATGAATTACAAGGTATGCAAATATATTTTGTTAAGGCAATGAGGTTATTTGTTTCATTTCTGGTTTCAAACTATTTTTTTAAGAAGTCAAGGGTTAGCTTGAATATGTATTTTTGTCTTCAGCTGCATAATACGTTGGTAAAAATAACGTTCTATTTAGTTTTCTAATACCCGTTACAAATTTGAAATATGAATGAATTTTCCACCGGAAACAGAACCCGTCAGGTCACTTATTCGTCAGTCCGATATAAAGATGAATAAATAGAGAGTCTCGTGTAGTCTGAATGGAGACATTAAAAACAATGAAAACAATGCAAGGAGAGAACATAGTCATCTGCACATTAAAATCGTGCTAAGCAACGTTTGTATTCGGTCATTAGTTAGTGTATTGATAGCAAACATATAACATCTTATTTCAAATGCTCATATATACATGAGTGGGACTTAAACTTTTTGTAATCAAAATCAATTTTGTGTACACAAAATTCAATTCTGTCTTAACAAAATCATTTTTGTCTTACAAAACTATGTGATACAGACTTGTTTTATGAGAATTCAATTTTGTAATGACAAAATTCATTTTTGTAGACAAAATTCATTTTTGTAGACAGAATTCATTGTTGTAGACAGAATTCAATTTTGTCAAATAGGTATGCAAATATAAACTTATTTGCATACAAAATTGACTTTTGTTACCTGATATGGAAACTAAAACACAAAATTCAATTTTGTGAGACAAAATTCAATTTTGTGAGACAAAATTCAATTTTGTGAGACAAAATTCAATTTTGTTGTGAGACAAAATTCAATTTTGTTTTGATACAAAACTCAATTTTGTGAGACAAAATACAATTTTATTGTGAGACAAAACTCAATTTTGTCAAACAAAATTCAATTTTGTTGTGATACAAAACTCAATTTTGTGAGACAAAATTTAATTTTGTGTTTATTTTTGTGTAGACAAAATTGAGTTTTGTTAAAACAGAAGTGAAAATTTAACAAAACTCAATTTTGTCCACACAAAAATAAACACAAAATTGAATTTCGTGACAAAATCTCGGTTTTGTATGCAAATTAGTTCACAGAATCCAAGCTAAACTAATTTGCATACAAAATTGACTTTTGTCGCCCCATTTTCAAATTAGGTAATAAAAGTAAAGTCTGTGATACAAAAATGAATTTTGTCATGACAAAAGTAACTTTTGTCCACTGAAAGATAATTTTGTATGACAAAATTTAAATTTGTAGTATGCTACAAATTTTGTTAAACTGAACTCATTTTTGTTGAACAAAACTCACTTTTGTCCGTACAAAATTGAATTTCGAGTACAAAACCACAAGAGTCCCGTCGGCGCCCCGTAATATATTCCAGAGACAGTCAAATTTATCCACAATGTCTTCCCATTAAACCCCATTTTCCAAACAACGAATGGTTTCCTGTCTAAAATATTCCCGTCATTGTATATGTTTATTATCAGGATCCATCGAGCAACTGTCAATTTGTTGAGCGAATAAACAGATTTATGAATTTTGCTTGTTTCATCATACACTGTTTTTGTTGCAATTGTAGGAAATGTTCAACGGTTGGAAGACGACGTAACAGAATTAAAAGAAAGGGATTTTACAATATCAAGGGAAAACGAAGTTTTGAGAAAACAGAATGCTGTCATTATGGACCATTTAACGCACGTGCTGGCAGATATAAGAAAATTAAAACAGGAAAATGAGCATCTGCAGAGGCAAATGCGTACTTTTGAAAAGAAGTTCATTTACAATAAATCGAATGGAA